TCATTGGAAAAGGATGGAAAATGCCCTTCATTTTGTTTGCACTAATAAATGCTGCTGCCTGCCAGCTGCAATCACCAGTAAAACGTTCCATGTTTTTTTTTTATATATATATATCGTCATAAATATCGTTATCGCAAATATTCTTGAAACATCGTGATATAATTTTGAGGCTATATTGCCCACCCCTACCGTATATTTAATTCTGTCATTAATTACTCACCCTCATGTCATTTCAAACCCGTTAGATCTTCGTTTATCTTCGGAACACAAATTAAGATATTTTGATGGAATCTGAAAGCTGTCTGACCAGACCAGACCTGAAATGTTCCCAAGTCCAGAAACTTGTCCAGAAAACCTAAAATTTTATTTTGTCATTTTGTATTTTTATAATTTTGTATTATCTTAAGTTGTCCAAGTTGTTAAAAATTGTATTTTCCTTAATACAAGCTGTATTTAATTTGTTTGGATGGATTACAATTTTGTTGTCTATTACCGTCTATTAGACGTATATATGTAGTCGTTTAATAGCGGTCTAATTGATGACTAGTCTATTCTTGGGCTATGATTAGATGTCTATTAAATTTTCACTGACAGCCCAAATTTAGCCTTGTTTTAGCCTAGACGTCTGGGCTGTGTTTAGACGGCTAATAGACGTCTTTTAAACGCAAATTGCTTGCTGGGAAGGAGATCTGTAAAATAATCCATGTGATATCAGTGGTTCAACCGCAATTATACGAAGCTACGAGAATACTTTTTGTGCACAAAAGAAGAAAAAAAACCCCACTTTATTCAACAATTCATCTCCTTCGCATCACCCTGGTGCCTTTTTGGAGAATATGTGAATCTGTGTCAGCTGCGTACGCCGGATCTGTTTCCTACATTGTTGTGATTTGATCTGAATGGAAACAGCGTATCCGTGTGACGAAGCTGACACAGAACAGCATACGTAAGGATATTCTCCAAAATGGCACCAGGGTGATGCGTAGGAGACGAATTGTTGAATAAAGTCGTTATTTTTTTTGGCCCACAAAAAGTATTCTCGTAGCTTCGTATAATAGCGGATGAACCTCTGATGTCACATGGATTATTTTACAGATCTCCTTGCTACGTTTCTGGACTTGGGAACATTTCAGTTGTGTTGCTGTCTATGCAGGGTCAGACAGCTCTCAGATTCCATCAAAAATATCTTAATTTGTGTTCCGAAGATGAACGAAGGTCTTACGGGTTTGAAACGGCATGAGGGCGAGTAATTAATGACAGAATTTTCATTTTTGGGTGAACTAACCCTTTAAGATGGCAAAACATCTATAAAACAACACATTTAACTAAAACAAGGGTTACTAACATAGACTAACTAGTGTTATGATTTAACACTATTTGCTTACAGTTGTTTTGTGTTTGATGAGAAATAAAACCAAAAGCTGAAGATGTTTGGTGGTGTATTCATCAGTGTCTTTGCAAATATACATGATCACTATAAACTGAAGTGACAGACAGTGATTAACCTCATTCTTTTGTCTCTATACATAAAGAGACATTTGCATAGATGGGCGAACATATCACCTGATTTTGTAAATGTAGCCAATTACATTTGTTTTAAGCACCCAGTTTGCACTTGTCTATAATTTAAATTAATAGCTTACATTTACAAAATGAATAAGCAATAGCAGAAATAATGAAAGTAAAGGTCCATGTTTAATAAAATTGTGAATGAAATGAAAATGTTAAATTAAATTAGAAAAAATGTTTAAGAGATTATTGTTTAATTTATATATTGTAGCCTATTCTAATGTCACAAATAATAATACCGAGGTTTACAAGTATTTTACATGATTCTTTTGTAGTATGGGTTTGGTGAAGAGTAGCCTACTAAAAACAAACATTTGTGTGTCCTCCAATTTGACCCACAACCTGATCAGTTTGTACATGATTCATTCATCAACTCCATGCCAGGTTACCATACTACCATTACACGTCACTTTCACTTTCAGATACATTTGATGCTAAATTCCCCCTCCCATCAGGCACCTAGTGTATTGCTGGCTTTGTTATAAATTAATATTCAACTATAAAGTAACATGCTTCCTCTGTATGTGCACAATAGCACATAGACTGTGTTCATCCTTATGCTTTTCATCTAACAGTTGACACATTTGCCCTTGAAAAAAAAGAGTTTCAGCACAGCACTGGAGCCTGTTTGGTTATAAACCTTTGGTTTTTAAATGTAAAATACATTGTTTGCAGCATTTGAATTGGAAGGATTTGCATGAGTTTTATAGAAATTAAAACAAAGTCACAATAAATATATTTGTAAACATATTTCTTAAATATTAAATGTGATATATTCAGTGATCTATTGGAATTTCACAACCAAACATGTCTGTTGCAGCAACAATTGCACGGTTAGCTGAGGTTAAACACGTTTTATTAATGGCTTTAAAACATTGAGCAGTTTTCAGTAAAATCTCTCAATCTCTGAATCTTCTGTCACCGGCTGAAGAAGACAGACTGAAGCAGTCGACACAGGAGATCAGTGTGAGACTTGTGGGAGATCTGGCTTCATCTGGTCTTGTGGAGGTCTATCATGATGGAGAGTGGGGTTCAGTCTGTGATGACGGATGGGATCTGGCTGAAGCATCAGATGGGTTTTCCTGGAGTGAATATCAGCCACTTCAGGAGGACATTATGGAGAAGGTATGAACTCCTCAGCACAGTTTGATTAATACACTGGTCTTATTTTAACCCAAATTCTGTTTCCATCACATCGGCTCAATGTATCAGCTGGTGTTTATTTTTGGACTGAAGCTTATGGAGGATGATGGCAGGATCTTCACTCATTCCTCAAGACAACCTTCCAGACGCAGGTATAGATGTAGGAGTACAGCGTCTGCACAGGTGAGCTTGTTCTGCAGGAGCACGTCCTTCAGTATCTCTCCTGAACGCTGAGTTTCACATAAGATCTCTTGTGTGGAGCAGCATCTCTTTCACATGATGGAAGCTCTGCTGCATCGCACAGACCTGATGGTGAAGGATGAAGCTTTACTTCTTGAAGCTCTGGAGATATGATTTGAGACAAAGGTGATTAAATTAATTCAGAACAACAGAATCTCATCCACTTCCTCTTGATCCCAGTGGATGAACTGTGTGAAATATAGTTTTCCTCAAGCGTTCTCCATCAGAGTCATGAGAAAGTGATCTGCTCAGAGGTTTTCAGTTCAACGCTCTGATATTCTCTAATATCAGGAATCAAATGGATGACATGAGTAATGAGTATCTACCCAGAAACTACAATGGAGATGAGTGGAGTGAATTTATCAATCATATTACCTGGTGTGTATGACCTACTGTGCTAAACAACAATAGTTTTGGAACAATTTGTTGTAGCCACTTACCCTGTAAGTACGAGGAACAAGGAAGTGACAAGCACAAATTAAAGTGGTGCTTGTTTCCCCCTTGTTACATGTAGATACAGGGTAAATAGGTTCAGCCATTCAGAAACATGGCTTTTCATTTCACTGCTATGCTGATGACACTCAACTCTACCTCTCATTCCATTCTGATCCGACGATAGCTGCTCGCATCTCAGCTTGTCTAACAGACATTTCTTGCTGGATGAAGGACCATCACCTTCAACTCAACCTTGCCAAGACAGAACTGCTTGTGGTTCCATCAAACCCATCGTGTCATCACAATTTCACCATCCAGTTAGGCACATCAACCATAACTCCTTCAAAAACAGCCAGAAACCTTGGAGTTATGACTGATGATCAGCTGACTTTCTCAGACCACATTGCTAAAACTGCCCGGTCCTGCAGATTTGCTTTATTCAACATCAAGATGATCAAGCCTTTTCTTTCGGAACATGCTTCACAACTCCTTGCTCAAGCTCTTGTTCTATCCAGGCTGGACTATTGCAATGCTCTCTTGGCAGGTCTTCCAGCCAGTACTATCAAACCTTTACAATTAATCCAGAACGTGGCAGCAAGATAAATTTTTAATGAGCCGAAAAGAACGCACATCACACCTCTGTTTATCAATTTGCACTGGCTACCAATAGCTGCTCGCATAAAATTCAAGGCATTAATGTTTGCCTACAAAACCGCCACTGGCTCTGCTCCCCTTTACCTAAATTCATTACTTGACTTATGTGCTCTCCAGAAGCTTGCGTTCTGCAAGTGAACGATGCATTATTGTGCCATCCCAAAGAGGCACAAAATCACTTTCACGGACTTTTACATTAAATGTTCCCTCCTGGTGAAATGACCTGCCTAACTCAGTCCGAGCAGCTGAGTCCTTAGCCATCTTCAAGAATCGACTAAAAACACATCTCTTCCATCTGTATTTGACCCTCTAACTCTAGCACCCTCTATTCTAATTCTATTCTTTAGAAATAATAATAATAATAATGTCACAATAAACATATTTGTAAACATACTTCCTAAATATTAAATATTCATTGATCACTATTCAGTGATCAACTGGAATTTCACAACCAAACATGTCTGTTGCAGCAAGAATTGCACAGTTAGCTGAGGTTAAACACATTACATTGAAGTAAAATCTCTGAATCTTCTGTCACTGGCTGAAGATGCCAGACTGAAGCAGCCGACACAGGAGGTTAACGTGAGACTTGTGGGAGATCTGGCTTCAACTGGTCTTGTGGAGGTCTATCATGATGGACAATGGGGTTCAGTCTGTGATGATGGATGGGATCTGGCAGCGTTCTGAGCCTTCAGGAGCCTGTAGACTTCCCCTGTCAGCCACGGCTTCTAACTGGCCCATACAGTGATGGCCTTTGTGGCCATTACATCATCAATGCACACGGTAATGTAGGCAGTGACAGTCTCTGTGTCTGTGGAGGTCTGTGGTGTTATTGTATGCAGCAGCCCGCTTAAACATGTTTCAGTCTGTGGTGATAAAACTGTCCCGAAGTGCCTCCAATGACCCTTGTATCTGCTTGCGAACCAGTTTGGCGACTTATGAGGTAGCACTCACTATCGCTTCAGCACTCGCACCATCCACGAGACGGGCCTATGCTTTGAAGTGGAACCTGTTCATCAAATGTTGTTCGACCCCCAGAAATGTTCGATCAGAGCCGTGCTTTCCTTCTTGCAGCAAGTGTTGGAGCGTAGGCTGTCCCCCTCCACCCTTAAGGTTTACGTTGCTGCTATCTCTGCACACCACGACCCCATAGCGGCAAGGTCGGTGGAGAAGCACGACCTGGTCGTCAGGTTCCTTAGGGGGGCCAGAAGGTTAAATCTTCCTAGGCCCCCCTCCTTACCCTCTTGGTATTTAGCATCATTAGTGCTAAGAGCCCTACAAACTGCTCACTTCGAGCTCTTGGAGTCAGTCGAATTGAAGTTTCTCTCCATGAAAACCCTACTCCTGACTGTGTTGGCCTCAATCAAGGGGGTGGGGGACCTGCAGGCATTTTTGGTCAATGAATCGTGCCTTGAGTTTGGGCCGGCTGACTCCAGTGCAACACTGAGACCCCGGCCCGGCTACATGCCCAAGGTTCCTACCACTCCCTTCAGGGACCAGGTGGTGAACCTGCAAGCGCTGCCCTTGGAGGAGGCAGACCCAGCCCTGCCTATGAGGCACATGGTGTGCCCTGCCCGCTCAGGCTGCATGCTCACTCCACTAGGGGTGTCGCATCGTCCTGGGCGCTGGCTTGTGGTGCCTCGCTAGCATATATTTGTAGAGCTACGGGCTGGGCGACTCCTAACACGTTTGCTAGGTTCTATAGACTACGCGTCGAACCTCAAACGGGTAACGGCACTGAGAGGCCCGGTTCAGAGTCTTTGCAGCGTCCATAACGCCTAGTTCTCCAGAGAGTTCCCTAACTAGGCAAACCCTGTCGAGTCCTCCAGCACTCCAGTGGCCGGACGTGGCGGAGCGTCCACCGCCAGGCCTTTCATCCAATGAATTTCGGAAATATGGTGTGAGGCTAGTGCCCATATGAGTGATTGTGATATGTGTATTTCCACGGACGTCGAGAGTGACCAACTGAAAGGGAACGTCTCGGTTACATGTGTAACCCTCGTTCCCTGAAGGAGGGAACGGAGGTGTCACGTCCCGTCGCCACAGTTGCTGTACCACCACTGAGCTGCCGGGTCACCTGCTCGGCTCCTCAGTGAAAACATGAATGAATGCGGTGCACCTGCTGCTTCTTATATCCGTGCTGTGGGGTGTGGCAGCCAGATGCGAATTCCGCATGCCAATGTCCATTGGCTCATTTATTTACACTCGAAGTGGATTGGTCTCTCTGGCGAGATTCCCATTCGTTGGTCCCGACGTGACGTCTCCGTTCCCTCCTTCAGGGAACAAGGGTTACACATGTAACCGAGACGTTTTCTTTTTTTTCTCAGAGGACAGCAACACTATACAAATATGGTCTTTTACAACATGATGCATTGTTGTAGATTAAACTACCCATATGTAGTAGGCGACTTTAAATTTAATAACCTTGAACATATTCAGAAGTAAAATGCAACATACACATTAGTGCAGCCGTAATATTAATGCATATTAATATTTTTTCAGAACAATACTGTATACCTTTACCTTTACTTTTACTCTCAATACCTTAAGTATATTAAAGTATGCAAGATAATACTTTTACTTAAAGGCCAGTTCACCCAAAAATGAAAAATCTCATTTACTCACCCTCAAGTTGTTCCAGGTTTGGAATTTTAATTTTTGGGTAAACTATTCCTTTAGCTAAGGTTATAAATATGACTAGTTGCTTTTCCCCAATGTGGTATTAGTAGTTACTAAAAGTAGTTTACTAAAGAATCTCAACATTTCTACTACTAATTACTTTGTCATAGCTCTAAACAACTTCTCTTTTCTCTCTTTCCCTAAATCAGACCAGAT